ATACTCTTCGTCAAGCAATCAGCGATCATGGTGGCCGTAGAGGTCCACACAACTTGGTCACCTGCACCGGGAAAGACCTCGGTACTGCGGGTGCCATCGTCTTCGAACAACGCCTGACGCAACGCGTTCAGTTCTATTTGGAGACGTTTGTCTTGGACACGTGAAGGGACCTCCACGTTGAGGTGCTCAGACAGACTACGACAGTCTGTGAGCATCATGTGCGGAACCGTCCTTCTGGATCGGTCGTACCAATCAGCTCCTGGACTGCCTTGTCCATACAATTCGGCCAACAGAGCTCGAATTTGGTCACCTGACTCTTGCGCACTCTGTAGCGCGTACGTCTCGGCTTGGAGAGTTGCTCTGCATACTCTCTTGATTGTCGTTGATCCAAAGCTGATCAAGGTAACATCGAATACGCAATTGCCTGGCGTGGTCAATTGCTTCCTTGGAACTAGGAAGTGAATACGTCCCTGCTGGGATCGTAAACCTGGCTCCCCGGCAAAACTGGCATCTGAGGCGGTTAAAACTCCCAGATCCATAAAGTCGAAAGGACCATTTTTGTACCGGATGCAGAAATCTTTTCCTGCAAGAGCAATTTCAAGGCATTTGTTAGCCTCCTTAAGGATAGCTACGGTGGCTCCCTTAACCTTGGACTGCAAATACGAAACTTTGTACAGGATATCCGGCCTGCCTTGTCTGGCTATCCAGCTCAGACTACCCACTACGCTACGCAGTTGACGTTCTTCACCTTGCGTGATCGGGTCCGAAGATTGTCGGCCCTTCGCTATGTCGATATACGTAGTACGGCGTGTGTTATCGCTAACGTCGATAACTATGTCCTTGCCGGATTGGTCAAATTGCTTCCCGCAAAATCGGAGTCTCTTGATCTCCTTTCTGCCGATTTCGAACCTTTCTTAGAGTCGATTCATGATTTCATCACCAGTGGGGGTTGATGCCCAAAGAAAATCGTCGACATGAGTGGTAAGTAAGAGATCCACTTTACTACCCGTGGTGTGGTAGTAAAACGCGGGAAAAATGCGCGACGCATTAAGACCTACGTCTTATGCGTCTTTGTCTACGCGCTTCCAAAACCCTCTCCCACTGTCTTGGAGTCCATAGACAGGAACGCGAACTATAACAACATCGCTTCCGGGTCTACGCCCGGGAGTCCCCCTCGGGGTTGTCGCATCAGCACTATGCGATCTATTGGGAGAGCCTGGAAGTAGGCATTTTTGATATCGGAGCCCTGCACAGGTACTCCTTCTGACGCTGCGAATGCGCACACCATGGCGTGGGTTTCAATATCCGATGCGGGCGAATCGGTCCTCACTCCACACTCGCCTTCAAAGTTGCCACAAGCAACCATGCGGGACTAGAATTCTGGATCGAATGATTCCAGGTGCTGTTCGTGGATGTTTTTGACAGTGTCAACCCACTTAGAGGGCAATGGAACATGTCCCTCATCCAATAAGTCCTTTAGGATCTTACCGGTTACTGGAATCGCCGCTTGGAATGATTCATACTTCATCCATTCCTTCTTTCTAGATTCATCGATCTTGCGCTGGACAGCGGGTGAACAGTCATAGTAGTTGAGGCTGCCTGGAAGGGACTTGGCTTCTTCCTTTGAAATGTTTGCCGCGCGATTCGCCATAAAGGCTATGAACTTGGCCCGCGGTCGGGCTTGAGTCGCACTCAGCGCCGTGTTTTGGTCGCTGACAATTCTAGGTGGCGTCGCTTCCGCATCCCTTACGCGCTGGAAGTGCTGCCGCAGCTGCTCAGGCAAATCGTCCTGTACATCATACGACGGCCTCCGACTTCCACCTGGAGTCCTCTCTTGCTCAGGCTCGGCGACGCTAACCCGACGAGACCTAGAACTCTGAGAGGTTCCTAAACCACTAGATCCTCTGATCCTTGGTCCATTCGAACTATTGGGACCTCGGTTCCTAACCTTAGGTGGTGATCTAGAGCGCGGGTGCTCCTCGTCTTCCTCTAGGATAGATGGCATGGGTCCATCACTGGGGCCCTCTTCAAGTGTCACATTTGGCGCTGGATCATGATCCCCGGTTGGTGCTGGTTCACGATAGTCGTCGAACCCTTGTTGATCCTTAACAATTTCCTCAGGGATAATTGCATTCCCATGAAGGATATCAAAGGCCAAAGCCTCTGCGTCCGTTGCTGGTCGCAGGTTTTGCGCAGACGCCAAAACTGGAATGTTTTCGCAAAGCAACCAAACCGATTCCTTGCTACGCCCTTCAAAACCAATAACCCTAGACGCAGGAGACCACGATGTCTTCCCAGCCTTGGTGCGCCTAAAGGTTACTACGTCGCCCACCTGGTAATCTCCAGGAATCGCTCTCGCGTTGCGCAAAAGAGCGCGCTGAACTCGTTTAGAGGTGTCCAGCTGGACGAATGCTTTCTTCGCCTCAGCACGAACCATGTGTTGGAGCGCGAAAGCGGACTCGGGATCGAGAGAGTCCTGAATGGCTCCTAGATCTGCGTGCCCATCCTCATTAAGGATAGATGGTAGTTCACGTGGCGCTCGACCCAGCACCCATTGAGCTGGCGAGTAGCCTCCCTGTCTGAGTAGGCTGTTCTTTGTCAGGCAAGTCTCATCAAGTACTTGCTGCATTTCCAACCAACCCCGCGGTTGAGTTTGGCTGATGACCTTGCGGGCCATTCCTTTGATGATCCCGCCGTGTCTCTCCACTCGGCCTATGGCTTCGGGTGTTTCGAGCGGCGCGTGTGTAACATCCACTCCGTGCGCGGCCATGTACCTTGCTAGGACGCCGCGGTTGTGCAATCCGCGATCACATTTTAGTGCTTTGGGGTGACCAGCCCAAGTGATCCACCTCCTCTGTATGGCCTCGAAGCACTTTGCGCTTGACGCTTGACCGGGACCTTGTCGAACAATTTCGGCTAATTGGAAACATGTCCCTAAACAGATCATGTTTAGGACCTGAAACTTGGTTCCTGTAGCGTCTGTGACTTCTAGAAGGTCAATACCGAGAGTGTGATTGAAAACGTACTTTTCGGGCAACGACGTGCTGTGCGCGCTACGTCTTGGCGCGTTCTCCTCGCACTCATTGCAGCGCAACAAACGCAGTCCATCTAGATACTGCGGGTCGACCTTCGCTGCTCTGAGAAGGTTTAAGAGTACCTTTCTCGGCGCATGCCCGAATTGTCGATGCAAATGCCTGATGGCAACTCTCACGCGCTGGGGTAACTTCCTCCAGCCGGCTCGGCGTTCGGCCTCGCCTTTAGGCAAACCTGGCACTTGAACTTCGTCTAGTTCAAGGTCCTCTTGAATGGCCTCTTCTCCTGGGTCCATTCTTGCTACATCATCTTCGTTTTCAACGGAATCGAAGGTTGGAAACTCGCTATCATCAATCTCGCCATCGTCCCATACTGGGTACGATGTTGCCACAAGTGAAATTGCAGCATGGTCATTGGCATAATTGATCAACCAACCCAAAAAGTCACTAGAAAACAAATCCCAAAAACTCCTGGGTCCCATGGTTGGATAGCCTTCACCGGTCCATCCCTCAAATGCATCTGCTATTTCCGAATTATTGGACACATAGCTCACATCACCATGTCCTATGTCTGGGTACATGGGAACAGAGAAATACCCCCAACGTTCAGTGTCGGCAACGTCAGCTATCAGGTAGTCTGACCCTGAACACTCACAGTGGGCTATGACCTCGTCCACAACTTCACTATGATTGAGTCCCGGTTCCTGGTACTCAATAGCTACAACCACTAAACTGGGGCTAACCTCTTGAAGGGTCCTACGAATCCCTTCGGCCTCCCACGGCTTCATCGCGTCCAATCCGACGTCGATGACACGGATGCCGGACTCCTGAAAGGCACGAGGCTTCGAGGTAATTGCTAGTGTGTGAGCAGGTCCCTTCACGGGTTCGGACACGGTGTTGCAAAGATATCTTAAGGCCTTATCATGGTCCCTAAGGGCTTGGAGACCTTGGTGCACGGTTCTCCTACGGGCCTTGGACAGTACTGCAAGGTTGCATGCTGGGGTGAAGTACTTGGCTCCAGTGGGAATACTGACACCCGACCCCGAACTCCCTGAAGAGGCAGAGGAGTCCGAGGAAACCGACCTAGTTCGCTTTCTACGGTCTGGTGCAGGAGGAGGCGTAGGTGGTTTACGGGCAATGTGGGCACTTGGCTCTTCACTATCTAAACTCTCCACAACTGGAAGTTGGGAACCCTGCAGCGGACAGTCCATGTACCCTCGGCGCGGTCGCACGTCTCTGTTTCTAGGGTCTCGGCTAGGATCCCTACTGTGGCCACGACTGTGCTGACGTGAGTAGTATCCTTTATCGCCCGTTCCGGGTCGATAGTTTGGATTGTACGTGCGCCTGCCTTCGGCACTGGCGCTGGGACGACGCAAACTTTGCCCATATGGCCTGGCCTCGCCTCTATAGGGCGAGACCCGAGGTAAGCCGCCGGTGTGGTCGGCCGCCCTCTGCTTCTGACTTCGGGCGAAAATGATGAAGCTGTCGCCGTCCTCCAGTTCTGCGGCATCGATGGTGAGCGCCGCGCGCATGTCCACATCCCTCTGGATTATGGAAAACGTGCGCTCCGCACCGCGGAACAGGAAGACGCCTTTGGTGAAGTCGTCTAAGGCGTTGTCCCACCGGTGCACAAACGAGTGGTCTTTGTGAGCCACCCAGAAACGGATGTTGTGCTTCAGGGTGCATTGCATCCCTTGCTCTTTGGTGGCCGGACCGATCCACCCGTTACTGTTGTACCTCGCCGGTTTCGTCCTCCTAAGGATGGACGCGACCTTTGTAAGGTCGGGGAAGCTAAGGTTGGCTGCCCATGGCCTATTGTGGTCCAAGGGTCCTTCCATGCCATCTACCACGGGGAGTGGCTCCACCGGCGTCTGCGTAGACCCTCCGCCAGCGCCAGGCTCGACGGACGCCTCGCCATCCCTAGGGGTATGACCTGGCGTTGACGCAGGTGTCTCCAACTCTCTGGCCTCACGCTCCTCCTCGTCGGGCTCCTCCTTGATGCTCGGTCCTGCTGACGTAGAGCGGGGGCCACTTCGACCAGGTCTCATGGATCCCGATCTCTCTCGGCCTCTGCCCTCTGCGATCGTCTTTTGATCGATCGTCTCTGGATCGGCTCCTAGACTCGTCCTTGGAGTCATACGACTCAGAACGGGATCTAGGTCTCCGTTCGTATCGCTTGACCACCTCCAACTCCTTCTCGGCAGCGATGGCTCGAGAAAGCCAACTTTCGCCAGAACTCTTTGCCTCTCGAAGCTCAGTTTCAAGAGCAACCAGTCTGACTTGGAGGTGTTCATTTGCTGTTTCCTGCCGGATGCAGCGCTCTCTCCAGTACCCCACGTCATTCTCCATCTCTGCAGGCGGTGCCTTCGGAACGATAGACGTGGCAGATACTGCGGGAGCCTTGCTGGTAGTGGATGCCTTGCTGGAAGACGCCGTAGCGGTCGTCTCCGTCGTCGCCGTACCAACCACTGGCGCGTAGTCCAACCTTGCCGACACCCTTGAGCTCTCTTCCGACTTCACCTCTGGCGTGAGAGCCATCGCCGGCGGTGATGGTGGCGATGGAACTGTCGGAGACTTCGACGGCGGCGGCAACGGCGGTTGCCTTGGTGCTGCCGGCGGCGGCGGTGGCGCTGGTTTGTTGCTCGGTGGCCTAATAGGTCCACCTTGCATTGGCACCGGCAAAGATCCACTTACCCAGACACCTGGATGCAAGGCGCTGGGGGCCTTTGCCCTAACAGGAGGCACCGAACCGGTTGCCCCTCCACGTTGGCCGGCATCTGCTCGGCCTGCTGGTGGCGCACTGCGCCCACGGTTCTGGTGACGATTCGCCTCGTCGAAGCCCTCGAGCGCATCCAAGAGGGAGTTGGCATGCTTTCCGAGGTTCACCAGACCAGGTTTGGAGAATTCACCGCAGTCGCTGCAGCCACCTCCACACGCCATGCCTTTCCAACTAGTGATGGCGTTCAGGTGAACGAGAAGATGGTCCTCGATCCCTTTTGCCAAAAGACACGCCGCTAGGGTCGTGCCAAAGGCAACTGACCTGTGCCGATTGCTGGTGCAAAATGCTACCAACGCAACTTTTTTGCCGCGGTTGTAGTGGTCTAACAGATCCACCAGGTTTTTTCGCAGCAAGCGTTGTCCTGCCTCGGCGTTGACCAGGCCCTTGATGATTTCTGGGTGCCTACCGATGTGGTCATTCCAAGCACCATTTGCAGGGTCGCTTAGATCTCTGAGGTCCTGGACGATCAGCGTGTAACCATCCCGGAACACCTGAGGTACTCGATCGGCCCAATGGATCGGATCCCTCGCCTTTTTCCCCCACCAGCCGTCTTCCTTGTTCATGTAGTACCTGATCCCGCAGGACAAGATGACTATCGGCGGTGGAGTTGTGAACGTTTTGGGCCGAACTTGGTCCCAGAGCATTCCACTTTCCAAGTACTCGTGGTAGTCGACCTCCCGTGGCACTGCCATGGCTTTGGATTGGCCCGAAAGGTCCAACCCAGTGCAAGCAGGATGGCCCGATGGGTCCAACCCGTCACAACTACCAACAAGCTCAGGGGGCGACTTACGCTGTGGAGTCTGTGAAGTCTGTGAAGGTTGAAGTTTGCATTCTCTTACACACTTCGGGAACTCATTTCCTCTAAGGGTAAATGATGACAGGTTAACTAGTAGTAAACCTGTATCCTTGCACCGAGCAAGACGAAGCTCGTGCTTCTCCCCGTCTGAATCAGTAGGCCAGCAGCAACAGGAGCGCATGTCCTTAACCAGGCCTAAAGTGCTCTGAGCAAACAGGCTTATCAAAAGAGGATTGTGGGCATCGGTGTCTACCTCGTGGGAGTCCAGCACGCCCGCCAGGGTCCTACCTTGATCTCCCAGCTCAAGACAGAAAGGCAGCTTACGCTTACCCAGGGTCCTGGAGGTCAGCCCAGGTCCTACTGTGGCACGTGGAATTACACCCTTCATCCAAAGCTCCCCACACATCAGGTTCATCGGGGCTCCAGAGGTCAACCATGGGTAAATTGTCTAGATGAACGATGTCAGTGGAGGCTGCGTGGGCATGCCTAGGACCACTAGAACCTTTACCACCCAGATTCCCGTGGCTCCTCTGCAAACTCGTCACAGCGTCGCTCGGGTATCCACTTCGAGCTCGTGGTTGCTGTTCCTCTGTGGGCAGGACAGGAACTAAACCACTACTTGAGGAGGGTTCGGGTTCTGGCTTGCTATCCCTTGAGGAAACCGAACTCTCGCTACTCCAAATCTCGGTTAAGGCCGCCCTACGGGTCGGGGTGCACTCGAGATAAGGATCGTAGGGGTCGTAATCAGGGAATGCTAGGGAATCATCGATAGCCTCGTTAAGGTCTATCTCGGGCAATTGGCCTAAACGGGTCCAACCTTGCTCCGGCCCTACAGGATCCGGAACTTGCGGTGACTCAGGACGAGCCTGCTCAATGTCGTCCAACGTCAGGCTCAGGTTGATGCCTGTGGACGGTGCAGGTGCTGGGTCAGCCCATTGTGCTTCAAGAATGGCTATACCTAATCGGTCATGCCCCATAAGGAAAGCATCCTCCCAGGCTACACAATGATCCTGCCAATTAACACCTTTAACCAGTCTCTCCCATCTAGAAAGAACTCTTTCTTCCTTTGTAAGGTCCGTTGGGTCTATGATTCCAACATGGCCAACGCGGGACCAGGAATCCGGACTGTCACCAGTGGGCTCTAAGGCATCAACGATTGCCTCGCTAAGACGATTGTGTAAAACAGACGGGGTGACGCGCATCCCCATCTCTATCATGGTGGTCACAGAGTCATTGAAGACACCCATGATGAGTTCCACATCGTCGTGCTCAAGGTCCCTTGACTCACCGGCAATCTGTGTGTTATGCATCACAGATAAAGAGTCTACAGTGGCATTGAGCATACGATTTGCCGCGTCTCGACGTCGGCGCTGGAAGTCAGCCGGAACTTCATCTATAAACGTTCCGCATTGTTTGCAAAACGTGCGAGACACTGATCGCGACGAGCCACGTCGATCAATGATCTCGTGCGGGCATGTCTCTGGGTCGTTGGTGTATGAGACCTCTCTGGGTTCTCGCGTGACCTTTCCGCAGTCTCTACAGGTACTGCGCAGCCAGTTCATGGTAGATCCTGCGTGCGTAAAATCCTTGCATCCTTGGACGCAAGGCTCCAATGGTGGGTTCGGCGGTACCTTCTTTCCGCCCTTGTTCGCAAGGCTCCAATGGTGGGTTCGGCGGTACCTTCTTTCCGCCCTTGTTCTTGACACGCGGTACATAGGTTCCTTCAGGGATACCTATGCTGGCTCGGGTGACAACCTCGTCGCCCTCGATCACATAGTAGCGATTGAACCAAGCTAAAAAGTCTTGGAGTTGGCGACTAGGGTTCACCTGAACCTGTGCCCATTGAACAACAGCTGGAAGCCGGGCAATCTCGCTGTAAGTCTTCCCCTTGTACTGACCAAGGTAAAACTTACGATCTCCGCCTTCCATTTCCATCGGAATAGGCATTGGCGCCGCTGACGCTGCAGCTGCACTTCGGCTACAGCTGCGCTTTTGCTTGCGGCAGCGCGAACGACAAAGCCAGAGTGGTCCTTGTCTGGCGCTTCCGAGGGAATGACCAGACCTTCCTCGCTGGATAGGACCGTTACGGCGACGTGTGCTGCCTTGCCTGCGGCCTTGCCTGCAGGGAACTTGCACTCAGGGTCACCAGCCCAATGGCCGATACCACCACATCTCATGCATCGCGACTTTGCCTTAAGGGCTTTGAGTTTGTCCCTTCTTTGCTCCAACGTAAGGTGACTTCGGACCACGTTACCCTTGCCTTTGCCCTTGGATCTGTTCTTGCCCTTGCCCTTGGCCTTGCCGAAGGCTGCGTTGGCTGCCAAGGACAACTGGATGGCGTGTCCCACCTCGGGAGAATCCTCGAGGAACTGCTCCATGGCGTTGAGGGCGATGGCCTCGTCCTCATCCAGCTCATATTCCTCGAACTCTTCTTCCTCGGCAGGGGGTTCTTCCTCCCAGCTCTCCTCAGCAACACAGGCTTCTTGGGCAAAGTAAGAGTCCTCTTCTGGGTACTCCTCTTCCTGCTCTAACTCGCCTGCGTCTTCGTCGATCGCAGGGAAGGCCTTGCGGGTAAAACCTTTACCCTTAGACCTATTAGATCCGTAAGATCTAGGACCATAACCCTTGCCAGTGTTACGGTAAGGCTGGGGGTTGCTGCCTCCCAGCGCGCGGCCTTCGCGCAGATGAACACCTGTGTAGTGCTGCACCAAGGTGTTTGCGATCTGCTCGAACTTCTTCGGGTCGGCTGTGCAAGCCTTGACGACCAGGGCTTCTTGTCTAGATAGCCCAGAGAGCTCTAATAGTAGCTCTACGCGCATCGGCTCAGAGAGCTCGATGCTGGCATCCAGGGTTTTCAGGAGATTCCACCACCTCCGTCTACGGGAGATGTAACTCAGCATGCTTTCCCCTGCCTGCCTGGACAGGGTCCCTAACCTCTGTCCCGCCCGGAACAACTCTCGGGCTTCCTCTGTCGCGCGGGGGAACACTACCTCCCGCATTCGTTCGATGAAGCTTCGAAGTCCCCCTGGAGCAGTTAGGGCATCTACACCGATGTCCCTCGCGAGTTCGAAGGCTTCGTCTCTGAGGCCTTCGAGAACACGGTGTACCATTTCTGTTCTTGCCTTCGTGCTCGAGGGGAGTCCTTCAAGGTACTCGAACGAAATGGGCTTCGCGGATTTGCCCGACTTCTTCGACCTCCGACTTCCCGCGCTGAGCTGGGAAAGCTTGTCGAAGTACTCGTCTGCTCCGCCTGGATG